TAGGGGGCAATGGGGCTGGGGGTGTCCATAGGGGGCAATGGGGACCCATAGGGGGCAATGGGGCTGGAGGTGTCCATAGGGGGCAATGGGGCTGGAGGTGTCCATAGGGGGCAATGGGGACCCATAGGGGGCAATGGGGCTGGAGGTGTCCATAGGGGGCAATGGGGACCCATAGGGGGCAATGGGGCTGGAGGTGTCCATAGGGGGCAATGGGGACCCATAGGGGGCAATGGGGCTGGAGGTGTCCATAGGGGGCAATGGGGACCCATAGGGGGCAATGGGGCTGGGGGTGTCCATAGGGGTAATGGGGGTGTCTATAGGGGGCAGTGGGAACCCATAGGGGGCAATGGGGCTGGAGGTGTCCATAGGGGGCAATGGGGGTGTCCATAGGGGGCAATGGGGGTGTCCATAGGGGGCAATGGGGACCCATAGGGGGCAATGGGGCTGGGGGTGTCCATAGGGGTAATGGGGGTGTCTATAGGGGGCAGTGGGAACCCATAGGGGGCAATGGGGCTGGAGGTGTCCATAGGGGGCAATGGGGACCCATAGGGGGCAATGGGGCTGGGGGTGTCCATAGGGTTAATGGGGGTGTCTATAGGGGGCAGTGGGAACCCATAGGGGGCAATGGGGCTGGGGGTGTCCGGGGGCAATGGGGCTGGAGGTGTCCATAGGGGCAATGGGGGTGTCCATAGGGGGCAATGGGGCTGGGCGTGCCCATAGGGAGCAATGGGGGTGTCCATAGGGCGCAATGGGGCTGGGGGATCCCATAGGGGGCAATGGGGCTGGAGGTGCCCATAGGGGGCAATGGGGGTGCCCATAGGGGGCAATGGGGCTGGGTTTGCCCATAGGGGTAATGGGGGATCCCATAGGGGGCAATGGGGCTGGGGGATCCCATAGGGGGTAAAGGGGGGGGCGTCCATAGGGGTCAATGGGGCTGGGGGTGCCCATGGGGGGCAATGGGGAATCCCATAGGGGGCAATGGGACTGGGGGATCCCATAGGGGTAATGGGGCTGGGGGATCCCATAGGGGGCAATGGGGCTGGGGGTGCCCATAGGGGTAATGGGGGATCCCATAGGGGGGAATGGGGACCCATAGGGGGCAATGGGGCTGGGGGTGTCCATAGGGGTAATGGGGAATCCCATAGGGGGCAATGGGGCTGGGGGATCCCATAGGGGTAATGGGGGATCCCATAGGGGGCAATGGGGCTGGGGGTGTCCATAGGGGGCAATGGGGCTGGGGGTGCCCATAGGGGTAATGGGGGATCCCATAGGGGGGAATGGGGACCCATAGGGGGCAATGGGGCTGGGGGTGTCCATAGGGGTAATGGGGAATCCCATAGGGGGCAATGGGGCTGGGGGATCCCATAGGGGTAATGGGGGATCCCATAGGGGGCAATGGGGCTGGGGGTGTCCATGGGGGGCAATGGAGCTGGGGTTGGGGGGGGCTCTAGGACCCGGGGGTGTCCGCAGGAGCCAATGGGGACCCCGTAGAGCACCAATAGGGGAGCGGCTTTGGGCTTTCCCCGCCCCCTCACGGGCGGGGCCAGGCGAAGGGCGGTGGGGATTGGCTGAGAGCGGGTCCATTCCCCTGGCCACACCCCCTCCTTCCTCATTGGTCATTAAGAGGGCCGGGTTGACCAATAGGGAGAGACGGAGGGCGGAGCCGAGGGTAGGGCGGGGCTGGATTTCGCGCCAAATCCCTGGTTGGGTGAGGCGCTGTGGGGGCGGGAGCGGCGCTGAGGGGAGGCGCGCTCTGATTGGCTGCGCACGGCGGTGGGCGGGAGAAGCCCTGCGGGGCCGCGCGCTCGGATTGGCTAACCAACGGCGGCGGGCGGGAACGGCTTTGAGGGGAACGAACGTTCTAATTGGCTAACCTACCGCGGCGGGTCGGAACGGCTCTGAGGGGAAGCGCGCTCTGATTGGCTGAACCGCACGGCGGGCGGGAACGGCGGTGAGGGGGACGAGCGTTCTGATTGGCTAACCAACGGCGGCGGGAGGGAACGGCGCTGAGGGGACGCGCGCCCTGATTGGCTGCGCCACGCTCGGCGGGAGGGAGCAGTCCTAAGGTCGGACGCGGTCTCTTGATTGGCTGAACCTCGCGGTGGGCGGGAACGGCGCTGAGAGGACGCGCGTTCTGATTGGCTGAGCCACGCCTTCGGGAGGGAGTGGCGCAGAGGTGGACGTGCGCTCTGATTGGCCGACTCGCGCGGTGGGCGGGAACGGAGCTGAGGGGAAGCGCGCTCTGATTGGCTGAACACGGCGATTGCCGGGAGCGGCGCTGAAGGGGACAGCATTTTGATTGGCTAACCAACCGCGGCGGGTAGGAACGTCTCTGAGGGAACAGCGCTCTGATTGGCTGAGCACGGCGGCGGGAGGGAGCGGCGCTGAGGGGATGCGCGCTCTGATTGGCTGAGCACGGCGGCGGGAGGGAGCGGCGCTGAGGGGACGCGCGCTCTGATTGGCCGACCCGCGCGGTGGGCGGGATCGGCGCTGAGAGGACGCGCGCTGTAATTGGCTTAGCAAAGCGGCGGGCGGGAACGGCGCTGAGGGGGCGCGCGTTCTGATTGGCTGAGCCACGCTCGGGGGGAGGGAGCGGCGCTGAGGGGACGCGCGCTCTGATTGGCTGAACACGGCGGCAGGCGGGAACAGCGCTGAGAGGACGCGCGCTCTGTTTGGCTGCTCACTCTCGGCGGGAGGCAGCGGCGCTGAGGGGACGTGCGTTCTGATTGGCTAACCAACGGCGGCGGGCCTGAACGGCGCTGAGGGGAAGCGCTCTCCGATGGGCCTAGCCGCGCGGTGGGCGGGAGCGGCGCTGAGGGGACGCGCGCTCTGATTGGCTAACCAACGGCAGCGGGCGGGAACGGCGCTGAGGGGACGCGCTCTCCGATTGGCCGAGGCGGGTGCGAGGCCTGAGCTGATTGGCGATGGAGGCGGCGTTGGAGCGGGCGCTGAGCGCGGGCCCGGTGCCGGTGCTGGTGCTGGGCCCGGAGGGGGCGGGGCTCACGGAGCTGCTGCTGCGCGCGGCCATGGCCGGGGGGGGAGAAGGGCCCCGAGCGCTGTTCCTGGCACCGAGCGCCCCCCCCCGGCTGCCGGGAGGCGGCGACCCCAGAGCCCTGCAGGTGAATGGGGGGGGGCGGGGCCTGAGGGAGGGGGCGGAGTCATTTCCATATAGGGGAGCGGTTTGCGGGGGGGGGGGCGGGGCTTGCGATGGGAACGGGAGGGGGTGCGGCTTACAAAGGGGCGGGGCTTGTATTGGAGGGGGGCGTGGTTTGTGGAGGGGCGGGGCTTGCGATGGGACCGGGAGGGGGTGGCAGTAGGGAGGGGGCGTGGCTTTTGCCATGTAGGGGCATGGGTTACAACGGGAGTGGGTGTGGCTTACAAAGGGGCGGGGCTTGCGGTGGGAAAGAGGAGCGGGTTGCAATGGGGAGAAGCATGGGTTACAACGGCTGGGGGCGTGGCTTACAAATGGGCGGGGCTTGCAATATGGGGCGTGGCTTACAAAGGGGCGTGGCTTGCAAGAGAAAAGAGGAGCGGGTTGCCATGGGGAGGGGGGTGTGGCTTACAAAGGGGCGTGGCTTGCGAGGGGAAAGAGGAGTGGGTTGCAATGGGGAGGGGGCGTGGCCATTCCCATATAGGGGCATGGGTTACAACGGGAGTGGGTGTGGCTTACAAAGGGGCGGGGCTTGCGAGGGGAAAGAGGAGCGGGATGCAATGGGGAGGGGTCGGTGTTTACAACGGCTTCAGGCGTGGCTTACAAAGGGGCGGGGTTTGCAATGTGGGGGCGTGGCTTAAAAGGGGCGTGGCCTGCAGGTGAACGAGGAGCGGGTTGCAATGGGGAGGGGACGTGGCTTACAAAGGGGCGTGGCTTGCGAGGGGAAAGATGATCGTGTTGCCGCCGTGAGGGGGCGTGTCCCCTCCCATATATGGGTGGCGCGGTTACGTCGGGAAGGGGGCGTGGTTTCCATGTGGATCCGCTCTCCCATTGGCAGCGCCTGGAGCTCCGGTACCCGCGGTCCCTGCGCGCCCTCTGCCGGGCGCTGTTGGCTCCGCCCCCTCCGCTGCTGCTCGTGGCCGGGCTCGAGCGCTTCGTGCCCGCGGGTGGGCGGGGCGGGGGGCGGGGCGCTGCGCGCGTGGCCGCGCTGCTCCTGGAGGCTTCCCGCGCTCCCGGGCGCGCCCCCGCGCGGCTCCTGGCGGCGCTCAGGCTCCGCCCCTCGCCCGCCCCCCGCCGCCTCCTCCCCGCCCTGCGCCGCTTCTTCCCCGTCCGCGTCCGCCTCGAGCGGTGAATAAAAGCGAGGGAGGGGTGGTGGTGACGTCACGGGTGACGTCAGAGAGGTGGTGTCTTGGGGGCACAGGGAGCGGGGGGGGGTAATGGGGGCAATGGGGTCAATGGGGACAATAGGGTAAGGGGGTCAATGGGAGCAATGGGGGTAATGGGGTAAGGTGGGCTATGGGGTCAATGGGGGAAGGGGGGCAATGGGGACAATAGGGTAAGGGGGTCAATGAGAGCAATGGGGGAAATGGGGTAATGGGGGCAATGGGGTAAGGGGGACAATGGGGGCAATGGGGTAAGGGGGGCAATGAGGTCAATGGGGGTAATGGGTTCAATGGGGAAAATGGGGTAAGGGGGTCAATGGGTCAATGGGGGTAATGGGGCCAATGGGGGTAATGGGGGCAATAGGGTCAATGGGGTAAGGGGGGTAATGGGGTCAATGGGGTAAAGGGGTCAATGGGAGCAATGGGGTCCATGGGGGTAATGGGGGCAATGGGGTAATGGGGACAATGGGGGCAATGGGGTAAGGGGGTAATGGAGTCAATGGGGTAAAGGGGACAATGGGGATAATGGGGGTCAATGGGAGCAATGGGGGCAATGGGGTAAGGGGAGCAATGGGGCCAATGGGGGTAATGGAGTCAATGGGGTAAGGGGGTCAATGGGGATAATGGGGGGCAATGGGAGCAATGGGGGCCATGGGGGCAATGGGGTCACAGGGGGGTCTCTGCTCTCAGTGGGGCCCCCCCCTGTGCCCCTCCAGCAGGAGCCGGGATTGGGTCTTGATGGCGGCGCGGGACGGGGGGGCCGCAGGCGGGGCGGCGCCATCCTCTGGGGGCACAGGGTCAGCCCCATAGAGCCCCATTGCGACCCATGGCTGCCCCAAAGCACCCCACAGAGCCCTATAGCCCCCCATAGGGCTCCATGGCTGCCCCATGGCTGCCCCAAAGCACCCCACAGAGCCCTATAGCCCCCCATAGGGCTCCATGGCTGCCCCATGGCTGCCCCAAAAAACCCCACAGAGCCCTATAGCCCCCCATAGGGCTCCATGGCTGCCCCATGGCTGACCCAAAGCACCCCACAGAGCCCTATAGCCCCCCATAGGGTTCCATGGCTGCCCCAAAGCACCCCACAGAGCCCTATAGCCCCCCATAGGGCTCCATGGCTGCCCCAAAGCACCCCACAGAGCCCTATAGCCCCCCATAGGGCTCCATGGCTGACCCAAAGCACCCCACAGAGCCCTATAGCCCCCCATAGGGCTCCATGGCTGCCCCATGGCTGCCCCAAAGCACCCCACAGAGCCCTATAGCCCCCCATAGGGCTCCATGGCTGCCCCACACCCACCCTATGGCTGCCACAGCAGCCCCATAGCTTTCAATAGACACCATAATCCCCCATCACCCCATAGCACCCATTGCCCCATAGCACCCATCACCCCATAGTACCCATTGCCCCATAGCACCCGTAACCCCCATCCCCTCAGAGCCCCTATAGCACCCATCACCCCATAGCACACATCCTCCCCCTCACCGTCCGAGCTATGGGGCAGCTCTGTGGGGTCCTCAGTGTCGGGGTCTTCACACTGCAGCTGTGGGGGGGGACCCCAAAGTGGGTCAGGGACCCTCAATGGCCCCATTGCCCCCCATTGATCCCCATTGCCCCCCCATTGATCCCCATTGAACCCTTTGACCCCCATTGATCTCCACTGACTCACATTGAGCCCTATTGCTCTCCATTGAGCCCCATTGCCCCCCATTGATCCCCATTGCCCCCTGTTGTCCCCCATTGATCCCCATTGCCCCCCCCATTGATCCCCATTGAACCCTTTGACCCCCATTGATCTCCATTGACTCCCATTGAGCCCCATTGTCCCCCATTGATCGCCATTGCCCCCCACTGCCCCCCATTGATCCCCATTGCCCCCACTGATCCCCATTGATCCCCATTGAACCCTTTGACCCCCATTGATCTCCATTGACTCCCATTGAGCCCTATGGCTCCCCATTGCCCCCCATTGATCCCCATTGAACCCTTTGACCCCCATTGACTCCCATTCCCCTCCATTGATCCCCATTGCCCCCCATTGATCCCCATTGCCCCCCATTGATCCATATTGACCCCCATTGATTTCCATTGACCTCCATTGACTCCCATTGAGCCCCATTGCTCATCATTGCCCCCCACTGACCCCCATTGATCCATATTGACCCCCATTGAGCCCCATTGCCCCCCATTGCCCCCACTGACCCCCATAACAGCCCAGGCCCCAGCCCCGCTCTCACCTGGGGGGGGGCGCTGGGGGGGGGCGGGGCTCGGCGCTGGCCCCGCCCCCCCTCTCGCAGAGCCTCGATCCCTGCCCGCACCAGCGCGAGGAGCTGCGGCACCGCCAGGGGGCGCCCTTCGTCCTGCTGGGACCCACAGCTGCCATGGGGTGGGACCATACGTCCTGCCCCATAGCCCCACATCCTGCCCCATAGCCCCACATCCTGCCCCATAGCCCCACACCCCCTACCCCATGGGCTGCATATCCTGCCCCATAGCCCCACACCCTCTGCCCCATGGCCCCATATCCTACCCCATGGGCCCCACATCCTGCCCCATAGCCCCACAGCCCCTACCCCATGGGCCCCACATCCTGCCCCACGGGCCCCACACCCCTTACCCCATGGGCTGCATATCCTGCCCCATAGCCCCACAGCCCCTACCACATGTGCCCCATGTCCTGCCCCATAGCCCCACAGCCCCTACCCCATGGGCCCCACATCCTGCCCCACAGGCCCCACACCCCCTACCTCATGGGCTGCATATCCTGCCCCACGGGCCCCACACCCCCTACCCCATGGGCTGCATATCCTGCCCCATAGCCCCACACCCTCTGCCCCATGGCCCCACATCCTGCCCCATTGGCTCCACATACTGCCCCATAGTCCCACATCCCCTACCCCATGGGCCCCACATCCTACCCCATAGCCCCACACCCCCTACCCCATGGGCCCCACATCCTACCCCATAGCTCCTACCCCCTATCCCGTGGGCCCTACATCCTGCCCCATGGGGCCCACATCCTAACCCCATAGCCCCACACCCCCTACCCCGTGGGCTGCATATCCTACCCCATAGCCCCACACCCCCTACCCCATGGGCCCCACATCCTACCCCGTAGCCCCACACCCCGTACCCCATGGGCCCCACATCCTACCCCGTAGCCCCACACCCCCTACCCCATGGGCTCCACATCCTGCCCCATCGTCCCCACATCCTACCCCATAGCCCCACACCCTGCCCCATGAGCCCCACATCCTGCCCCATAGCCCCACACCCCCTACCCCATGGGCCCCACATCCTGCCCCATAGCCCCACACCCCCTACCCCATGGCCCCATCCCCGCCCCATGGCCCCGCCCTCACCAGCCCCAGGCGCTCCAGCAGCAGCCCCAGCCCCACGGCGCCGCTCTCCAAGGTCCTGTTCAGCTCCTCCAGGTCCCTGCGGGCTCGATCCCGGCCCCGCTCCGCCTCCCGCAGGCGCCGCTGCAGCGGCTCCGCCCCACGGCGGGACCTGGCCCCACGGGACCCACAAGTGGGACCCACGGCAACAGCCCCATAGGGACCCCACTATAGGGACCCCCCCCAGGACACCCAAATAAAGACCCCACCCGTATGACCCCCATAGGGACCCCCATATGACCCCCATAGGAACTGCTCCATAGGGACCGCCCCATAGGGACCCCCATAGTTACACCCCATAGAGAGCCCAATACAGACTCCACATAGGGGCTCCCAGAGGTACCCCCCATAGGGATCCCAATAGGGACACCACATAGGGACCCACCCCATTGGGACCCCCCCCCCCAAACGGCCTCCCCCATGGAGAACCCCCCGTAGGAAACCCATAGGGAACCCCAGAGGTACCCCCCATAGAGATCCCCATAGAGACCCCCCATTGAAACCCCCCTACAGGACACCCATAGGGACCCACCATAGAGACCCCCTTACAGGACCCCCATAGGGACCCTTTTAGGGACCTGCCATAGAGACCCCCCCATAAGGACTGCCCCATAGGGACCCCCCATAGGTACCCTCCATAGAACCCCCCCATAGGACACCCATAGGGACCCGCCATAGAGACCCCCCATAGGACCCCAAAAGGGACCCCCGATAGGGACCACCATAAGGACCCCCAGAGGTACCCCCCATAGGGATCCCCATAGGGACCCCTTTAGGGACCCGCCATAGAGACCCCCCCAGGACCCCCAAAGGGACCCCCGATAGGGACCCCCATAGGGGCCCCTTTAAAGACCCGCCATAGAGACCCCCCCATAAGGACTCCCCCATAGGGACCCCATAAAGACCCCCCATAGAAATCCCCCATAGGGACCCCCCAGAGAGACCCCCCTATAGGACCCCCAAAGGGACGCCCGATAGGGACCACCATAGAGCCCACCCCATAAGGACTGCCCCATAGGGACCCCATAAGGACTGCCCCATAGGGACCCCATAAGGACTGCCCCATAGCACCCCCCCCCCATGGCCCCGCTCCCCCCTGACCCTCTCCGGTCCCCCCCGCGGTGCCTCAGCTCCTGCAGCCGCTGCTCCAGCGCCGCCACCTCCGAGCGCAGCTCCCGAAGGGCCCGATCCTGCGCGGCCGACAGCGCCCCCAGCGGCGGGAGCAGGGATGGGCGGAGACTGCGCTGGGGGGCGATAGAGAGAGATGGAGGCAGCGATAGAGACCATAGAGACGGCGATAGAGACCATAGAGACGGCGATAGGGACCATAGAGATGGCGATAGGGACCATAGAGACGGCGATAGGGACCATAGAGACGGCGATAGAGACCATAGAGATGGCGATAGAGACGGCGATAGGGACCATAGAGACGGCGATAGAGACCATAGAGACGGCGATAGAGACCATAGAGACGGCGATAGAGACCATAGAGACGGTGATAGGGACCATAGAGACGGCGATAGGGACCATAGAGACGGTGATAGGGACCATAGAGACGGCGATAAGGGCCCATAGAGACGGCGATAGGGACCATAGAGACAGGGAGAGGGACCATAGAGACGGCGATAGGGACCATAGAGACGGGGAGAGGGACCATAGAGACGGCGATAGAGACCATAGAGATGGCGATAGAGACCATAGAGTTGGCGATAGAGACCATAGATATGGCGATAGAGACCATAGAGACGGCGATAGAGACCATAGAGATGGCGATAGGGACCATAGAGACGGCGATAGGGACCATAGAGATGGCGATAGAGACCATAGAGATGGCGATAGAGACGGCGATAGGGACCATAGAGACGGCGATAGAGACCATAGAGACGGCGACAGAGACCATAGAGACGGCGATAGAGACCATAGAGACGGTGATAGGGACCATAGAGATAGCGATAGAGACCATAGAGACGGCGATAGAGACCATAGAGACGGTGATAGAGACCATAGAGACGGCGATAGGGACCATAGAGACGGTGATAGGGACCATAGAGACGGCGATAAGGGCCCATAGAGACGGCGATAGGGACCATAGAGACAGGGAGAGGGACCATAGAGACGGCGATAGGGACCATAGAGACGGGGAGAGGGACCATAGAGACGGCGATAGAGACCATAGAGACGGCGATAGGGACCATAGAGACGGCGATAGGGACCATAGAGATGGCGATAGGGACCACAGAGACGGCGATAGGGACCATAGAGACAGGGAGAGGGACCATAGAGACGGCAATAGAGACCATAGAGACGGCGATAGGGACCATAGAGACGGCGATAGAGACCATAGAGATGGCGATAGGGACCACAGAGACGGCGATAGGGACCATAGAGACGGCGATAGGGACCATAGAGACAGGGAGAGGGACCATAGAGACGGAGATAGGGACCATAGAGATGGCGATGGGGACCACAGAGATAGGGACCATAGAGAGGGATCATAGAGACAGCGCTAGGGACCATAGAGACGGCGATAGGTACCATAGAGATGGCGATAGAGACCATAGAGATAGCGATAGGGACAACAGAGAGAGCAATAGGGACCATAGAGATGGCGATAGGGACCATAGACATGGCGATAGAGACCATGGAGATGGCGATAGGGACCATAGAGACAGGGAGAGGGACCATAGAGACGGCGATAGGGACCATAGAGACAGGGAGAGGGACCATAGAGACGGCGACAGGGACCATAGAGACGGCGATAGGGACCATACAGATGGCGATGCGGACCATAGAGACGGCAATAGAGAGTGATGGAGGCGGCAATAGAGACAGTGATAGGGACCATAGAGATAGCAATAGGGACCATAGAGATGGCGATGTGGACCATAGAGACGGCGATAGGGACCATAGAGACGGCGATAGGGACCATAGAGATGGCGATGCGGACCATAGAGATGGCGATAGAGACCATAGAGACGGCGATAGGGACCATAGGGACGGCGATAGAGACCATAGAGATGGCGATAGGGACCATAGAGACTGCGATAGAGACCATAGAGACGGCAATAGGGACCATAGGGACGGCGATAGAGACCATAGAGATAGCGATAGGGACCATAGAGATGGCGATAGGGACCATAGAGACGGCGATAGAGACCATAGAGATGGTGATAGAGACCATAGAGACTGCGATAGAGACCATAGAGACAGCGATAGGGACCATAGGGACGGCTATAGAGACCATAGAGATAGCGATAGAGACCATAGAGATAGCGATAGAGACCATAGAGACGGCGATAGGGACCATAGAGATGGCGATAGGGACCATAGAGATAGCGATAGAGACCATAGAGACGGCGATAGAGACCATAGAGACGGCGATAGAGACCATAGAGACGGCGATAGAGACCATAGAGACAGCGATAGGGACCATAGAGATGGCGATGTGGACCATAGAGATGGCGATAGAGACCATAGAGACGGCGATAGGGACCATAGAGACGGCGATAGGGACCATAGAGATGGCGATAGAGACCATAGAGATGGCGATAGAGACCATAGAGACGGCGATAGGGACCATAGGGACGGCGATAGAGACCATAGAGATGGCGATAGGGACCATAGAGACTGCGATAGAGACCATAGAGACGGCGATAGAGACCATAGAGACGGCAATAGGGACCATAGGGACGGCGATAGAGACCATAGAGATGGCGATAGTGACCGTAGAGACAGCGATAGTGATTGAGGCAGCGATAGGGACCATAGAGACAGCGATAGAGACCATAGAGACGGCGATAGGGGCCATAGAGACAGTGATGGAGACCATAGAGATGGTGATAGTGATGGAGGCAGCGATAGAGACCATAGAGACGGCAATAGGGATCGTAGAGACTGCGATAGGGACCATAGAGACGGCGATGGGGACCATAGAGATGGCGATAGAGACCATAGAGACGGCGATGGAGACCATAGAGATGGCGATAGAGACGGCGATGGGGACCATAGAGATGGCGATAGAGACCATAGAGACGGCGATAGGGACCATAGAGACGGCGATAGGGACCATAGAGATGGCGATAGAGACCATAGAGATGGCGATAGAGACCATAGAGACGGCGATAGGGACCATAGGGACGGCGATAGAGACCATAGAGATGGCGATAGGGACGATAGAGACTGCGATAGGGACCATAGGGACGGCGATAGAGACCATAGAGATAGCGATAGAGACCATAGAGATAGCGATAGAGACCATAGAGATGGCAATAGTGACCGTAGAGACAGCGATAGTGATTGAGGCAGCGATAGGGACCATAGAGACAGCGATGGAGACCATAGAGACGGCGATAGGGGCCATAGAGACAGTGATGGAGACCATAGAGATGGTGATAGTGATGGAGGCAGCGATAGAGACCATAGAGACGGCAATAGGGATCGTAGAGACTGCGATAGGGACCATAGAGACGGCGATGGGGACCATAGAGATGGCGATAGAGACCATAGAGACGGCGATAGGGACCATAGAGACTGCGATAGAGACCATAGAGATAGCGATAGAGACCATAGGGATAGCAATAGAGACCATAGAGACAGCGATAAGGGATCGTAGAGACTGCGATAGGGACCATAGAGACGGCGATGGGGACCATAGAGATGGCGATAGAGACCATAGAGACGGCAATAGGGATCATAGAGACTGCGATAGGGACCATAGAGATGGCGATGGGGACCATAGAGATGGCGATAGAGACGGCGATGGGGACCATAGAGATGGCGATAGAGACAGCGATAGAGACCATAGAGACGGCGATGGAGACCATAGAGACGGCGATAGGGTCCATAGAGACGGCGATAGATTTGGGTCATGGACCCGGGATCACGTGATGCCACTTGGGGTCACATGGGTCTCACCTCGGTCCTGATGCTGCCGGGGAGGTCTCGGGGGCGGGGCCTTGGCGAGGCCGGGGGCGGGGCCAGCGTCGGGGGCGGGGCCTCCGAAGTGCACTCAGGGGGGGCCCCCTCCGGCTCTGGGTCCAGCTCTGGGGACTCGCAGGGAGGGAGGAGCTGCTGCGGGCGGGGACGCAACCACGTGACCCCCCTGGACCCACGGGACACCCCCCCCCCGGACCCACAAGTGCCATCTCCAGACCCATAAATGCCCCCCCTCCCGGTACCGGCATCTGTGGGTCCTGCTCTGCTTCCTCCTCCAGTTCCCGGAGCCTGAGCCCCCCCACCTGCGGGTGACGGCGCTGAGACAAGAACCCACCGTGAACCACAGCTCTCATTGTGCCCCATAGACCCCATTGAGCCCCATAGACACCCATTGTGCCTCATAGACCTCATTGAGCCCTATAGACCCCATTGAGCCCCATAGACGCCATTGAGCCCCATAGACCCCATTGAGCCCCATAGACACCCATTGTGCCTCATAGACCTCATTGAGCCCTATAGACCCCATTGAGCCCCATAGACCCCATTGAGCCCCATAGACACCCATTGAGCCCTATAGACCCCATTGAGCCCCATAGACCCTATTGAGCCCCATAGACCCCCATTGTGCCTCATAGACCTCATTGAGCCCTATAGACCCCATTGAGCCCCATAGATACCCATTTTGCACACACACACATCCATTGTGCCCCATAGCCCCTATTGTGCCCAATAGCCCCCATTGTGCTCTATAGACACCCATTGTGCCCCATAGGTCCCACTGTGCCCCATAGACACCCTTGTGCCCTATAGCCCCCACTGTGTCCCATAGTCCCCCTTTGTGTCCCATAGCCACCCATTGAGCCCCATAGCCCCCATTGTGCCCCATAGACACCCATTGTGTCCCATAGCCCCCCATTGTGTCCCATAGCCCCCATTGAGCCGCATAGATACCCATTGTGCCTCATGGACCTCATTGAGCCCTATAGACCCCATTGAGCCCCATAGATACCCATTGTGCCCCATACATACCCATTGTGTCTCATAGACACTGATTGTGCCCAATAGCCCCCATTGTGCCCCATAGCTCCCATTGCGCCCCATAGCCCCCTTTGTGCCCTATAGACACCCATTGTGCCCCATAGACACCCACTGTGCATCATAGCCCCCACTGTGCCCCATAGACACCCACTGTGACCCATAGCCCCCCTTGTGCCCTATAGACACCCATTGTGCCCCATAGACACCCACTGTGCATTATAGCCCCCATTGTGCCCCATAGACACCCATTGTGACCCATAGCCCCCCTTGTGCCCTATAGACACCCATTGTGCCCCATAGACACCCATTGTCCCCATCACCCCCATTGTGCCTCATAGCCCCCATTGTGCCCCACAGAACCCATTGTGCCCCATTGTGCCCCATAGGCACCCATTGTGCCCCATAGCCCCCATTGTGCCCCAGATACCCATTGTGCCCCATAGGCCCCATTGTGCCCCATAAGCCCCATTGCGCCCCATAGGCACCCATTGTGCCCCATAGCCCCCATTGTGCCATATAGGCACCCATTGTGCCCCATAGCCCCCCATTGTGCCCCATAGCCCCCCTTGTGCCCCATAGCCCCCATTGTGCCCCATAGCCCCCATTGTGCCCCATAGACTCCCTTGTGCCCCATAGAACCCCTTGTGCCCTATAGACACCCACTGCGCCCCATAGCCCCCCATTGTGCCCCATAGCCCCCACCTGCCCCTCCCGCAGGTCCCGCAGCCGCCGCCGCCGCTCCCTCAGCTCCGCCTCCAGCGCCTGGAGCCGCCCCCTCTGAGCCCGAGCCTCGGCCTATGGGGGGGGGGTGACCGGGTACGGGTGTGGGACCCCCCCAATGGGACATGGAGGGGACCCCAATGGGACCTCAATGGGAACCCAATGGGACCTCAATGGGAACCCAATGGGATCTCAATGGGACCCCAATGGCCCAGCCCTGGAGCCCCCCAATGGGAACCTCCACATAGGACCTCAATGGGACCCCATCATAAGCTCAATGGGACATCAATGGGTCCCCCCCACTGGGAACCCAAGGGGACCCCTGCCCAGGGCAAGAGTGGGACCCCCCCCCAATGGGACTTCAATGGGAACGCAATGGGACCTCAATGGGAACCCAATGGGAACCCAATGGGACCTCAATGGGACCAAAATGGGAACCCAATGGGACTTCAATGGGACCTCAGTGGGAACCCAATGGGACCCCAATGGGATCTCAATGGGACCTCAATGGGAACCCAATGGGACCTCAATGGGAACCCAATGGGATCTCAGTGGGAACCCAATGGGACCTCAATGGGAACCCAATGGGAACGCAATGGGACCTCAGTGGGAACCCAATGGGACCTCAATGGGAACCCAATGGGACCTCAATGGGACCTCATTGGGAACCCAATGGGACCTCAATGGGAACCCAATGGGACCTCAATAGGACCTCAATGGGAACCCTATGGGATCTCAATGGGAACCCGATGGGATCTCAATGGGACCACAATGGGAACCCAATGGGACCTCAATGGGACCTCAGTGGGAACCCAATGGGACCTCAATGGGAACCCAATGGGATCTCAATGGGACCACAATGGGAACCCAATGGGATCTCAATGGGAACCCAATGGGACCTCAATGGGAACCCAATGGGAACCCAATGGGACCTCAATGGGAACCCAATGGGACCTCAATGGGACCTCAATGGGACCTCAATGGGAACCCAATGGGATCTCAATGGGAACCCGATGGGATCTCAATGGGACCACAATGGGAACCCAATAAGACCTCAATGGGACCCCAATGGGAACTCAATGGGACCTCAATGAGACCACAATGGGAACTCAATGTGACCCCAATGGGACCTCAGTGGAAACCCAATGGGACCTCAAGGGGAACCCAATGGGAAACCAATGAGATCTCAATAAGAACCCAATGGGACCTCAATGGGACCTCAGTGGGAACCCAATGGGACCTCAAGGGGAACCCAATGGGAACCCAATGGGACCCCAATGGGAACCCAATGAGATCTCAATAAGAACCCAATGGGACCTCAATGGGACCTCAGTGGGAACCCAATGGGACCTCAATGGGACCCCAATGGGCCCTCAATGGGACCTCAATGGGACCTCAATGGGAACCCAATGGGAACCCAATGGGACCTCAATGAGACCACAATGGGACCCCGATGGGACCTCAACGGGATCTCAATGGGAACCCAATGGGACCTCAGTGGGAACCCAATGGGACCTCAATGGGACCTCAATGCGAACCCAATGGGATCTCAATGGGAACCCAATGGGATCTCAATGGGAACCCAATGGGACCTCAATGGGATCTCAATGGGAACCCAATGGGACCTCAGTGGGAACCCAATGGGACCTCAATGGGAACCCAATGGGAACCCAATGGGACCTCAATGGTAACCCAATGGGACCTCAATGGGAACCCAATGGGACCTCAATGGGACCTCAATGGGAATCCAATGGGACCTCAATGGGACCCCAATGGGATCTCAATGGGAACCCAATGAGACCTCAATGGGACCCCAATGGGAACCCCTGTAATGGGAACCCCCCAATAGGACATCAATGGGGACCCCAAAGGGACCTCAGTGGGAACCCCCACAATGGGAACCCCCCACTAGGACATCAATGGGACCCCAATGGGACCTCAATGTGAACCCCCCAATAGGACATCAATGGGACCCCCCCAAGGGACCCCAATGGAGCCCCAATGGGACCTCCCAAATGAGACCCCAAAAGGACATCAATGGGACCCCAAAGGGACCTCAATGGGAATCCCCCAAAGGGACCCCAATGGGACCTCAATGGGAACCCCCAATGGGAACCCCCCAATAGGACATCAATGGGGACCTCAATGGGAACCCCCCAAAGGGACCCCAATGGGACCCCCCCAAATGAGACCCCAAAAGGACATCAATGGGCCCCCCCAATGGAGCCCTAATGGGACCCCCCCAAATGAGACCCCAAAAGGACATCAATGGGCCCCCCCAATGGAGCCCCAATGGGACCCCCCCAAAATGAGACCCCAAAAGGACATCAATGGGACCCCCCCAATGGAGCCCTAATGGGACCCCCCCAAATGAGACCCCAAAAGGACATCAATGGGCCCCCCCAATGGAGCCCCAATGGGACCCCCCCAAAATGAGACCCCAAAAGGACATCAATGGGACCCCCCCAATGGAGCCCTAATGGGACCCCCCCAAAATGAGACCCCAAAAGGACATCAATGGGACCCCCCCAATGGAGCCCCAATGGGACCCCCCCAAATGAGACCCCAAAAGGACATCAATGGGACCCCCCCAATGGAGCCCTAATGGGACCCCCCCAAATGAGACCCCAAAAGGACATCAATGGGACCCCCCCAATGGAGCCCTAATGGGACCCCCCCAAAATGAGACCCCAAAAGGACATCAATGGGACCCCCCCAATGGAGCCCTAATGGGACACCCCAAATGAGACCCCAAAAGGACATCAATGGGCCCCCCCAATGGAGCCCTAATGGGACCCCCCAAAATGAGACCCCAAAAGGACATCAATGGGCCCCCCCCAATGGAGCCCCAATGGGACCCCCCCAAAATGAGACCCCAAAGGACATCAATGGGACCCCCCAATGGAGCCCTAATGGGACCCCCCCAAATGAGACCCCAAAAGGACATCAATGGGACCCCAAAGGGACCCCCAAGTTCTCCACGAGTCCTCCTCGCCGCTAGGGGGCCGCCATAGCGCGGTACCTGCAGGTGCGCCGCCAGGCGGCGGTAGAGAGCCGAGACCCGAGCGGCCTCCTCGGCGCGCAGCTGCAGCCGGCCCAGCCCGCCCCGCAGCGCCGCCTGCTGGCCCGGAGGTGTCAGCGTGGGCCTCTATGGGGGGGAGCTATGGGGGGGCTATGGGGGAGCTATGGGGGGAGCTATGGGGGGAACTATTGGGGGGTCTATGGGGGGAGCTATGGGGGGGAGCTATGGGGGGAGCTATGGGGTGGGCTATGGGGGGAGCTATGGGGGGAGCTATGGGGGGGGGCTATGGGAGGGAGGCTATGGGGGGGGCTATGGGGGGAGCTATGGGGGGGCTATGGGGGGGGCTATGGGGGGGGCTATGGGGGGAGCTATGGGGTGGGCTATGGGGGAGCTATGGGGGGCTATGGGGGGGGCTATGGGGTGGGCTATGGGGGACCTATGGGGGGAGCTATGGGGGGGGGCTATGGGGGGAGCTATGGGGTGGGCTATGGGGGAGCTATGGGGGGAGCTATGGGGGGCTATGGGGGGGAGCTATGTGGTGGGCTATGGGGGGGCTATGGGGGGCTATGGGGGGGGCTATGGGGGGAGCTATGGGGTGGAGCTATGGGGGGAGGCTATGGGGGGACTATGGGGTGGGCTATGGGGGAGCTATGGGGTGGGCTATGGGGGAGCTATGGGGGGAGGTATGGGGGGGCTATGGGAGGGAGCTATGGGGAGGAGCTATGGGGTGGGCTATGGGGAGCTAAGGGGGGGCTATGGGGTGGGCTATGGGGGGGAGCTATGGGGTGGGCTATGGGGGAGCTATGGGGGGGCTTATGGGGTGGGCTATGGGGGGAGCTATGGGGGGGGCTATGGGGGAGCTATGGGGGAGCTATAGGGGAGCTATGGGGGAGATATGGGGTGGGCTATGTGGGGGAACTATGGGGGGCTATAGCGGGAGCTATGGGGGGGCTAAGGCGTGGCTATAGGGGGGAGCTATGGGGGGGCTATGGGGGTAGCTATGGGGGGGCTATGGGGGGCTACGGGGGAGCTATGGGGAGCTATAGGGGGAGCTATGGGGGGAGATATGGGGTGGGCTATGGGGGGAGCGATGGGGGGGAGCTAAGGGGGGAGCTATGGGGTGGGCTATGGGGGTGGGCTCGGGGTCACGACCTCACCGCCGGGTCACGCTGCAGCCTCCGTGGGGTCAGGGGGGGTCCTGGGGGGAGGGGGGGTGGGGGGATATGGGGGTCAATGACCTCCAATAGCACCCCCCGCCCTCCCCCCCCCCCTTACCTGGGTCTTGGCTCCGCCCCCTGGGCAGCGGAGGGAGGGGGCAGCGAGGGGCGGCCATAGGGGGGCCTTGGTGGGAGGGATTAATGGGGGGGCAAATCACAGCCGAGACCCCCAAATACCCCCTGAGACCCCCAAACACCCCCCGAGACCCCCAAACACCCCCCTAGAACCCCAAATACCCCCCCATGAACCCCAAATACCCCCCGAGACGCCCAAATACCCCCCATGGGAACTCCAAATATCCCCCGAGAACCCCCAAATACCCCCTGGAACCCCAAATACCCCCTTGGGACCCCAAATACGCCCCCGAGGACCCCGAAAATACCCCCCCA